AAATGATAATGAATATTTAAATAATAATAATAATAGTCAAAATGTAGATAAAAAAATATTTAAAAAAACAAATTCAGCATCAAGTATACATTCATCATCAACATCATCATCTTTATCATCTAATACTATAAATAATAATTTAATTAATAATAATAATACTACAAATAATAATAATTTAAATAATTTAAATAATTTAAATAATATAAATAATATAAATAATAATATAAATAATTTAAAAGAAAATGAAAATAATGATAAATATGAAAATATTCAAGTAAAATTAGGTGATTTTGGATTAGCTAAAATATTAAATGATAATAATATAAATGGAATAGCATTACAATCAGTATGTGGTACACCATTATATTGTGCAAGTGAAATTGTATTTCAAAAAGGATATACTTATAATGTAGATATATATTCATTAGGTGTTACTTTATTTGAATTATTTAGTGGTCATTCACATTTAACATTTTTAAAAATAGTTTTACAAAATTATAAACCAATTACTATTTTATATGATAGTATCATTTTAAATTCTATTAGAAAATTAATTGGTTTAATGATTGAAAAAGATAATACTAAAAGATTAAATTCAAATCAATTAATTAATCATTCTTTTATTATTGCTTTTAAATTCATTTTAAATAATTTAAATAATTTTAATTATAATTTTATTAATTTAAATAATAATAATAATTTAAATAATAATAATAATTTAAATGAAGAAGAAATAAATATATCACAATATATTCAAGTATTTATGGAAATAATAATATATTTAGGAGTTGAACATGAATCTGATATAAAAATGAAAATATGTTCTATAAATAGAATTAAAGAATTATTAAATAATCATAAAAGAATAATTGTAAATTATATTCATAATTCATATAAAAGAGTAATGCAAATGTTTTGTACATTGGATAAATCTGATCATTTATGGATATTAGATTTTATTTTAAATATTTTATTACCATGTATAGAAAATCAAGATGAAAATATTTTATTTGTAAAATCTTTATATGCACAAATGAATTATTTATTTAATAGAGGAAATTTTATTGTTTTGAAAAGATTATTTAATAATATTAGAAATTCTATTATTAAAGATGATGAATGGTTAAACATTATTAAAAATGGTGGTTTTAATTTTTATAAGGAAAATGAATTTAATAATGAAAATACTATATTCATTCCATTTGAAGATAATAGATTATTAATTTGGATTAATGATCAAATTAATTCAATTGAATCTTCATCATTAAATATTTCATCATCTCTAAATAATCAATTTAATCAATTTAATCATAATAATAATAATAGTAATTCATCATCAAAATCCAATTCACCATCATCACCATTAAATCAACAATTAATTCAAGATAATGATCAACGTGGAGGTGATGCTATTGTTACAACACACAAAAGTGAAATAAAGTATTAATTTTTCTTAACAAAGTTCAAGGAATTATTTTTTTAATGAATAATTCAACTGATTGTGGAGTTGTATCTTCAGATTAGAAGCTTCGTCTGAATTAACATTTCTAATTGGTTCTGCACAGAGTGGTCCATCTGAAACCAATCCTTTAAGGTGGATGGATAAGAGTTTCTCCTTTCCGAAGGTTGAGCAACCATTATTGTTGAATAGGTAAAAGTGTGTTGATTTTTTAATGTGGATACAGTTGTTTGAATAAGGGGTAACGGTACACGTTATTGACATAAAATACGCACAATTAAACGCCCCAACATTGTTCTCAAAAATTTATCGCCCTTAGTGTTTTTATGTTGAATATTTTCTGTTTTATGTATGTCTTGTCAAATTTCTTAAAAATGGTGACAGAAAAACCATTTATCTTTTTAACTTGAAATTATACTTTTACATTTGGATATTAGGTACGTGATGTGCATGTAGAGCATAGTAATAATAATAATTCTAAGAAAAGTAAGACTCGGTTGAACCAATCAGGTGGAAAGAAAGTAATGATCTTTAGTAACAAAAAACAAAAGAATTGAAATACATGGCACATAATATTATTTCACCAATCAACATTTTATTATTTTGGATTAGTAAGTAGGGATCCAAATCCTTTTGAGCTTCCATATATTGTCATGACTATGTTTTCTTGTACTGTTGTTCAGGGCAGCAAGCATGGAAAAAATTGTGTTTTAAAGGGCACACTCTCTGACAATAGAGCGTACACTCTTATGTACCACTTTATCCCTTTTCATGTTAGGGCCTCTAATAATAAATAATCTCAACGAATAAGCAACACACTTTTACTTATTCAACAATACAAGTCGATTTGGTGTTTGTTCAATTCTCAACTTGAAACATATTTAATAGATGTAACCATAGCCATTTTGGTTTAACGTTTGATTGACAGTTAAATTGTGTAGTTGGCTCATTTTGCATTCACTAATTACCAGCGATTCTAATATTTGAATAACTTATGCACTTAGGATAATTAAATAGCTCGTTCCTATTATACACTTAGTCAACAATAATGACAATTGTTAGATATATGGTGTTGTCTACATGTTATACTACAGTTGTGTTCAAAGTATTTCTTGTTTGTCAATGATATGTAAAAGATAGTGGTTGATGTAATGACTTTATATTTGTTTTTGTTACGTTCCTTTTAAGTACGTGTTTTTAATCGTGCACATACAAAAATATAAGCAATGAAAATACATCTTATATATTTCAAAAGAATAATAAATGTTTAATAACTTAAAATCAAATGAAGAATGATATATCTTTAACTAAAAATCATAGTAACCAATTTCGACCTCAAGGTTAGTTCCAGGATTACTGAGGGTTGGTGGACTGAATCCTTAATAACCTCTGTCTAACGAAAAATAAAAATTGAAAGGGTTTGACTTGGTGAGGGGTGCAAATTGATCTTTGTGAGCCTCCAAAAAGGCAAATAGGGTGATACAAAGAATGTTGAAGATAAATTGTGTTGAGTTATTTTGTTTGTATTGATTAGTAATATTAAACACTTCAAATCTGTAGAAAAAAGTTACTTCAAGATGATGAATGATAATGTTTTATATAGATGTTGATGTAAAATGTTTTCAAAAATGTCAACAACAAATACTGAAAAACTACTTTTAAACTAAAGAACCAATTCCAATTTAAAAATATTAAATAATTGTTTTTTTATTTAAATTTAATTTCCATAATAAAATAAAATGTTTCTTTTTAAAATTTAAATATTTACGAGTATAAATATAATGTATATGAAATAATAAATGATTTAATTGATTTAAATTTAAATTATTTAAAATAAATTTAGTTTGTTTAAATGATAAAATTAAATTATTATTATTAATTTTTAATAATTTTTTAAATAAATTATAAAATAAAATAGATTCTTCTAATTTAAACATTAAATCAAATATAAAAATAGGAATATAATTATAATTATAATTATTTAATAAATCTATATAATAAATTAAATTATTATCAATTAAATAATTATAATTATTAAATAAAAATAAAATATAATTAATAATAAAATTATTAAATTTTAAATTAATATTATTATTATTTCTTAATAAAAATAATATTTTATATTGAGATTTTGAAATTAACATTTATGGTTTTAAAAATAAAATATAAAAAGACATTATAATCATAAATAATGAAACAATATAATGTAATCGTATTCCAATTACAGATCCTTTAAAAAATATTCCAAAAAATCCTTTTTTTCTATTTTCCATATATTGTTTAATTCTTGGAACTCTAAAATTTAATATTATATTATATTTAATTGTTAATATTTAATTGTTCATATTTAAATGATATATAAATATTATTAATATATTTAATTGATAATTTAAATGATATATATATTAATATATAATTGATAATTTAAATGATATATATAAATTAATAAAATCATACCTTCTTAAATATCCACAACTAGCACAGAATAATAATAATGCACAAAATATTCCCTCTCCACTAAATACTATATTATTATATCATTTTATAGTATTAGATTAATATTCCGAAAATTAATGATGTAATTTAAATTGTATTCATAATATATGAATGATATTAATAATAATTGTGATGATGATCAATTTGATATGAATGTAATATATTGATTGTTGTTATTGATAATAAAAATGATTAGAGGATCAAATAATGATAATAATGATAAATACCGTTGGTCATATTTAGACTTTTTTTATTATAATAAATTTAAATGTTATTATTATTAAATATCTACAACTACTTTCATCTAATTACTTCATACTTGTAATAAATCATGATCATTACAAACTATATCCACAATAGAAGAGTAGTAACTAAATCAAATATTACTCTAACTACCGTAATGATTCAATCATTTAATCAATATGTGTTTTTCCTATCATTTCCGAAAGAGTCCACACGACCTTCTATCGGAATTTGATATCAATAACTGCTTACGCATATAATTTTGATAATATTTCGCATTCATTCCATTATTGCTCGTACAATTAATTGATTGAATATTCTATCAAAAACATTTTAATCATCAGCACACCAACACTCAAGAGAATCTTCATACCTTTGGATTCAAAAAAAAACAAGCGAATATTTCACTACTACTATCACACCAATACCATTTATCATTATTGAGAGCTATTTTAATTTCTAATCCTCTCTCTCTCATATAATCCATAAATCATCACCACCATCATCATTTATTATAACAATAATAATAATAACAATATAAATAATATATATATATTGGAAAGAGAGTGTATTATTAAATTTTTGTGTACATAGTATAATTTTCAAAGGCTTCAATATCATTGACAATTCATCAAGTTGATTATCATCCAACCAACACATAACTATCATCAACTCTTTTCATCATAATCAATTCATCATATAATCATCATCATATAAATATATAAATATAAATACATATAAAAAAATGACACATTTTAAAAGATTAAAATCATCACCATTTAAACAATTTATAAAACATTACATGTCTAAATATAATCATTGTTTAGAGAAATATCCATTTTTAACACAAGGCTTGTCTGCATCATTTCTATTTGGATCAGGTGATTTTATATGTCAAAAATTAGAAGGTACAACATCAATTGATTATAATAGAATTACTAGAATGGTTTTATATGGTAGTTTTGTATTTGCACCTTGTGCACATATTTGGTATAAATATTTAGATAAGAAAATTATTATAACAAAAAATAACAAATTTAAACAAATTTCAAAAAAGGTTTTTTTAGATGAATTTGTTTTTACACCTGTTATATTAGGTGCTTTCTTTAGTAGTTTAACTAGTTTAGAATATTTTTATGAAAAATTAAATAATACTAATATAGAAGATGATACTAATTTAGGAAATAGAATTGTTGATAAACTGAAAAGGGATTATTT